GGGATGACAGTCATAGCAACGAAAGCCCCACCAGGCTGGTTCTGTAAACATCCCCATTTTACAGACAGGGAAACAGAGGTCCAGAGGGACAAAACTGCTGGCTGAGGACTCCTGGTGACCCATGAACACCACCTTTTCCCTTTTATCCTTACTTCTTCTTCTTCTTCTTCTTCTTCTTCTTCTTCTTCTTCTTATTATTATTATTATTATTATTATTATTATTATTTGAGATAGAGTCTCTCTCTGTCGCCCAGGCCGGAGTGCAGTGGCGTGATCTTCGCTTGCTGCAACCTTCACCTCCTGGATTCAAATGATTCTCCTGCCTCAGCCTCCTAAGTAGCTTGGATTACAGGCACACGCCACCATGCCTGGCTAATTTTTGTGTTTTTAGTAGAGACAGGGTTTCACCATGTTGGGCAGGCCAGTCTTGAACTCCTGGCCTCAAGTGATCAGCCCGCCTCAGCCTCCCAAAGTGCTGGGGTTACAGGCGTGAGCCACTGCGTCTGCCTTCACCTTTCTCTTTTATTCTTACTTTTTTTTTTTTTTTTTTTTTAAGACCAGATCTTGCTCTGTCTCCCAGGCTGGAGTGCAGTGGTGTGATCGCGGCTCATTGCAACCTGGACTTCCCAGGTGCAAGTGATCCTCCTGCCCCAGCCTCTCAAGTAGCTGGGACTATAGGTACATGTCACCATGCAAGGCTAAAACCTTTTCTTTTTTTTTTTTTTTTTTTTTTTTTTTTTTGAGACAGAGTCTCGCTCTGTCGCCCAGGCTGGAGTGCAGTGGCCGGATCCCAGCTCACTGCAAGCTCTGCCTCCCGGGTTTACCCTATTCTCCTGCCTCAGCCTCCTGGGTAGCTGGGACTACAGGCACCCGCCACCACGCCCGGCTAGTTTTTTGTAATTTTTTTTTTTTTTGAGACAGAGTCTCGCTCTGTCTCCCAGGCTGGAGTGCAGTGGCCCGATCTCAGCTCACTGCAAGCTCCGCCTCCCGGGTTTACACCATTCTCCTGCCTCAGCCTCCCGAGTAGCTGGGACTACAGGCGCCCGCCACCTCGCCCGGCTAGTTTTTTGTATTTTTTAGTAGAGACGGAGTTTCACCGTGTTAGCCAGGATGGTCTCGATCTCCTGACCTTGTGATCCGCCCATCTGGGCCTCCCAAAGTGCTGGGATTACAAGCTTGAGCCACCGCGCCCGGCCACTTTTTTTTTTTTTTTTTTAAACAGATGGGATCTTGCCATGTTGCCCAGGCTGGTCTCAAATTCTTGGGCTCAAGTGATCCTTCTGCCTTGCCTTCTCAAAGTGTTGAGATTACAAGCGTGAGCCACTGTGCCTGGCCGTATCCTTGCTTTTGAGGTGAGAAGATGGAGGTCTAGCATCCATGGCCAGATTTGAGCCCACTGGGTCATTTGTCTCTAGCCTCAGTAGCACTGGCCATGAAATGAGACTTTAGCCAACCTTGCATCTCAGGCTGCTGGGCCCCTCTGAGCTCAGCCCCGGGGTCTTGTTGCAGGAAGGTCCCTCACTTTTATTTATTCCCACACCCCCATTGTGTATGTAACTGTCTGAAACTCACTGTTATCCCCATAAGGAAAAATGTGCTTGGCTGGGCACCATGGTTCATGCCTGTAATCACAGCACTTTGAGAGGCCGAGGTGGGAGGATCACTTGAGGTCAGGAGTTCGAGACCAGCCTGGGCAACATGGTGAAATCCCGTCTCTACTGAAAATACCCAAATCAGCTGTACATGGTGGCATGTGCCTGTAATCCCAGCGTCTCGGGAGGCTGAGGCAGGAGAATTGCTTGAACCTGGGAGGCAGGGGTTGCAGTGAGCCGAGATCACATGACTGCACTCCAGCCTGGGTGACAGAGTGAGACCCTGTCTCAAAAAAACAAAACAAAACTCATTCACCTGTACTTTATTGGATATAAGTTATACCTTAGTACACTTGACTCAAGATTTATGTATTTAATGTTTTATTTTGAGAATGTGAGAAAAAAAAGTAACTTAAGAATAAAATCCAGGCTGGGAGTAGTGGTTCACGCCTGTAAACCCAGCACTTTGGGAGGCCGAGGCAGGTGGATCACCTAAGGTCAGGAGTTTGAGACCAGCCTGGGCAACATAGGGAGACCCCCTTGTCTCTACAAAAAAAATTTTTTTTAATTAACCAGTAGTGGTGGTGGACACTGAAGTGTTACAGAATGGTTCTTATGACTAGGCCTTTAGTCACAGCTACTTGGGAGGCTGAGGTGGAAGCATTACTTGAGCCCAGAAAGCTGAGCCTGCAGTGAGCCGTGATGGTGCCACTGCACTCCAGCCTGGGTAACGGACTGAGACTGTCTCAAGAGAAAAAAAGAAGGCCGGGCGCAGTGGCTCACGCCTGTAATCCCAGCACTTTGGAAGGCCGAGGCAGGTGGATCACCTAAAGTCAGGAGTTTGAGACCAGCCTGGCCGTCATGGTGAAACTCCGTCTCTACTAAAAATACAAAAATTAGCTGGGCATGGTGGTGGGCACCTGTCCTACCAGCTACCTGGGAGGCTGAGGCAGGAGGATCGCTTGAACCCAGGAGGTGGAGGTTGCAGCGAGCTGAGATCGCTCTGTTGCACTCCAGCCTGGGTGACAGAGCGAAACTCTGTCTCGAAAAGAAAAAGAAAAAAATTCAAATGGTTTATACAAAGTCTTCTGTTTTGGAAAACTCGTGTTATTAGTTCTAGCTCTGGAAGGAAGAGTGGTCTCTTGCTACATACCCTAGCTATCCAGATGTGTCTGTTCGTGTTCTTTTTCTTGCTTCAAAACAAAAACACATCTGTGTTTTAAGTTATAAGTATTAACTTGCTAGATTGAAAGCATTCATGAAACATATGTGACCACACCATTAAAGAAACACAGAAAAAAAGGAGAAAACAGTCCATTTATTTATTTATTATCGAGACAGGGTCTCAGTCTGTCACCCAGACTGGAGGGCAGTGGCACAATCATGGCTCACTGCAGCCTCCCAATTGTACAGATGAGGAAACTGAGGCACGCATCTGTATGTCTCAGACTGATGAGCAGCATGGCTCACACCTGTAATCCCAGCACTTTGGGAGGCTGAGGCAGGAGGATCGCTTGAGAATCCAGCCATAAAGCAGTCAGTTTAGAAGCGGAGATACTATGGCGGTTACAGCCATACTGAATCAGGCACCATGGCTCCGGTTCCATGCATAACAGTCCTAGAACTATCAATCTGGATAAAATGATTCTTTTTATTTATTTCTTTTTTGGTAGAGATGGGATCTTGCTATGTTGCCCAAGCTGGTCTTGAACTTGTGGGCTCATGCAATCCTCCATGCTGCCCATCAGTCTGAGACACACACATGTGTGCCTCAGTTTCCTCATCTGTACAATTTTGTAGCGACGAGGTTTCGCCACGTTGCCCAGGCTGGTGTCGAACTCCTGGGCTCAAATGATCCTCCCATTCAAATGCAAGGTTCATCACCCCCTTGCGCATGGGGTCATTGTGAGGACAGGGTGGGTTGGGCCTGGTGCAGTGGGCATTGTCAGAGCAGGAGAAATAAGTCCCAGGTTGGATTTAGTGTCTTCTGTCTTCTCAGCTGCCTTCACTTGTTTACGCTGGTGTGAGCCAACCTAACGTCTCACTCTGACACATTGTCATCATCCAAATGGCCAACTGCTAATCATCAAGCACTTCCTGGCCACCGCAGCGAGGCAGTAGCAGCAATGTCCCAGGATCTGCCAGTTCCTGGTCACATCCCATTGCACAGCTGCCCCTAAGCAGTCCTGGGGCTGCTTAGTTCTAGAAAAATCTTGGGAGCGAGGAGCCCAGGGTGGCATCCTGTGGTCTTGATCCCAATACCATGCTCTCCCAGGGTCACTTGGAAGCTGGACTCAGGGTCCCAGTCGGGGAGCTGGTGGCTCAGGCAAAGAGATGCAGAGGTACCCCCCTGGGGACTCAGCAATGTGGCCCTAAGGGAGCTGGGTGCAGCACAGTGGCCCACACCTGTAATCTCAGCACTTTGGGAGGCCGAGTGGGAGGATCACTTGATCCTAAGAGTTTGAGACCAGCCTGGGCAACATGGCAAAACCTCGTCGCTACAAAACTACAAAATAGAGCCGGGCGCCGTGGCTCACCCCTGTAATCCCAGCACTTTGGGAGGCTGAGGCAGGTGGATCGCCTGAGGTCAGGAGTTCGAGACCAGCCTGGCCAACATAGTGAAACCCCGTCTCTACTAAAAATACAAAATATTAGCTGGGCATGGTGGTGGGTGCCTGTACTTTCAGCTACTCCAGAGGCTGAGGCAGGAGAATCGCTTGAACCCAGGAGGCGGAGGTTGCAGTGAGCTGAGATAGCACCACTGCATTCCAGTCTGGGTGACAAAGCGAGACTCCGTCTCAAAAAAAAGAAAATTAGCCAGGCGTGGTGGCATGCACTTGTAATCCCAACTACTCAGGAGGCTGAGGCAGGAGAATAGCTTGAACCTAGGAGGTGGAGGCTGCAGTGAGCCATGATTGCGCCACTGCACTCCAGCCTGGGAGACAGAGTGAGACCCTGTCTCAAGGAAAAAAAAAAGGCAGAAATACCAGGTGTGAGAAAATCGAGAAAATCTGGTAGAATCAGGAACATAGTGGAGAAGAAATCATCTGGTGCCGTGGAAGCTCAGGGCAGAGCCCTGCGTCAAGAAAGAGGAGATTGTGCCGCTGCACTCCAGGCTGGGTGACAGAGTGAGACTCCATCTAAGAAAAAATAAATAAATAAATAAAGGCCAGGCATGGTGGCTCACGCCTGTAATCCCAGCACTCTGGGAGGCTGAGGCAGGTGGACTACGAGGTCAGGAGATTGAGACCACCCTGGCTAACACGGTGAAACCCATCTCTACTAAAAATATAAAAAATTAGCCGGGCGTGGTGGCGGGCATCTGTAGTCCCAGCTACTCAGGAGGCTGAGGCAGGAGAATGGCGTGAACCCGGGAGGCAGAGCTTGCAGTGAGCCGAGATTGTGCCACTGCACTCCAGCCTGGGCAACAGAGCAAGACTCCGTCTCAAAAAAAAAAAAAAGAAAAAAAAGAAAAGACGAATAAAGGAATCAAAAAGTGTTTTCAACCCTGTAGGGAAACAGACACAAACTGTATTAAGAGAGATTAATGATGCAAGACGGATGTCCAGGACCCACCTGCTGGGGACACAGTGGCTTAACTCCACTGGCTCTGGGAACTCGGAGGTCATGGCAAGCAGAGCAGTGAAATTCCTGCACCAGGAGGGGGCCCAGGCCATGCATGAGGAGTTGCTTCATGAGTACCAGCATGGCCCAACTTACAGAACTGGCTGGGTTCAGCTGTTCAACGTCATTGCCAAGGCATATCCTTCCATATCCATGTCCAGGGCCCCTGCTGCTGTCCCAATCATCTGTGGCCCAGGGAATAATGGAGAAGGGAGCCTGCTCTGTGCTTGGCATCCCAAACATTTTGGTCACCAGCCAATCATCTTTGACCCCAAAAGACCCAACAAGCCACTCTACACTATACTGGTGACCCACCATCAGGAAAGGGTCATTCTTTTTCCTGGTGAAGTGCCCCCAGAGCCCACACTGATCAATGAGCTGTATGGGCTGGGGGTGGATGCCATCTTTGGCTTCAGCTTCAAGGGCAATGTTTGAAAGCCATTCTGTAACATTCTGAGTGTCCTGAATGGACTCACTGTGCCACTGCCAATGCTGACATTCCCTTGGGATGGGACATGGAGAAGGAAAACTCCGGAGGGATCCAGCCAGATCTGCTTCTCTCCCTGATAGCATCCAAAAGATCTGAAACCTAGTTTACAGATTGCTACCACTACTTGAGGGGTTGTTGACTGCCACTTGCTTTGGAAAAGAAGTACCAGCTAAAACCTGCCATTGTACCCTAACACTGAGTATGTCTCATCATCTGCAATGAGGGAAGGTGGATGGACATTCTTGCCAATAAAGACTTAGTGTCTCTGTCTCCCAGAAAACACACACACGCACACAAAACGCAGAGAGAGACTACTAAGGCTAAAGAGATGGTGGGCATACCATGTTCATGGACAGGAAGGCTGAGGCTCATACAGATGCAGATTAACTCATTTAATAGTCCCAACCCACCAGAAGGTGGGTTGCAGATACCTTGATTTCAGACTTCTAGCTTCCAAAGCTGTGAGAGAATAAACACATTAAATTAATTTCCCCCTTTGTCATTTCAACACAATCCCAATTAAAGTCATGTCACAGCTTTCCCTGGAACTCAATATGATAATCGAAACATTTAACTGGAGCAGCAGAGGGTTGCAAATACTTGGGGCATTACTGCAGAAGAACAGGGCAGTCCTACCTGACATACCAGATATTGGAACCCATGGCAAAGCCTGTAATTAAGTCAGCAAAATACTGGCACAGAAAGAAACACATTGACCAATGGATTAGAATTAAATGCTCACAGACAGCCCTATGCAGGTCAGGAATTTTGCTTCAAGAAGGAGAGAGTCTGTCCCAGCAGTGGGGAGGGGAGGCTATCCCATAAAAGGATCTGGGAAATGGGAGACCATGTTGAAAACAATATTGGTTCTCTACTTCACACCATATGCAAAACAAAAATCCACATGGGTTAAGGAGTTACACACAAAAATATAACAAAATTACCCTTTTTATTTTATTTTTTTAGACAGGGTCTTGCTTTGTCACCCAGACTGGAGTACAGTGGCATGATCATAGCTCACTGCAGCCTCAGACTTACAGGTGCACATTACCACGCCTGACTATTCTTTTTAAATTTTTTTGTAGAGAAGGATCTTGCTATGTTGCACAGGCTAGTCTTGAACTCCTGGTCTCAAGTGATTCTCCTGCCTCAGCCTCCCAAAGTTCTGGGATTACAGGCATGAGCCACTGTGCCTGGCCCAAAAGAAAGCTTTAATGTCTTGGTAGAAAATAGAGGTGAACTTGAGGGCAAGCCTTGGTGCCTCATGCCTGTAATCCCAACATTTTGAGAGGCCAAGAGGGGAGGATCATTTGAGCCTAGGAGTTTGAGACCAGACTGGGCAACATAGGGAGACCCCACCTCTACAAATTAAAAAATTAGCTAGGCATGGTAGTGTGTGCCTGTAATCTCAACTACTCAGGAGGCTAAGGCAGGAGAATTGCTTGAGCACAGGAGTTTGAGGCCGCAGTGAGCTGTGATCATGCCACTGCACTCCAGCCTGGGCCATGGAGTGAGACCCTGCCTCAAAAAAAAAAAAAAAGAAAAGAAAAAAAGGCCAGGTGCCAGGGGCAGTGGCTTACGCCTGTAATCCCAGCACTTTGGCTGAGGCAGCCAGATCTCTTGAGGTCAGTAGTTCGAGACCAGCATGGCCAACATGGTGAAACCCCGTCTCTACTAAAAATACAAACATTAACTGGGTGTGGTGGCGGGCACCTGTAATCCCAGCTACTTGGGAGGCTGAAGCAGGAGAATCTCTTGAATCTGGGAGGTGGAGGTTGCAGTGAGCCGAGATCACACCACTGCACTCCAGCCAGGCCACAGAGGGAGTTTTCACCTCAAAACAAAACAAAAAGACTAGTTACAAATTAGGGAAAGATATTTGCAATATACTCAACAGATGGAGGAATACTATCAAACCTACATAAATAATTCCTATAATGACAGCCAGGCACAGTGGCTCACGCCTGTAATCCCAGCACTTTGGGAGGCTAAGGTGGGTGAATCACCTGAGGTCAGCAGTTCAGGATCAGCCTGGCCAACATGGTGAAACCCCATCTCTACCAAAAATACAAAAATTAGCCAGGCAAGATGGCAGGCACCTGTAATCCCAGCTACTCAGGTGGCTGAGGCAGGAGAATCACTTGAACCTGGGAGGCGGAGATTGCAGTGAACTGAAATTATGCCACTGCACTCCAGCCTGGATGACAGAGCAAGACGCGGTCTCAAAACAAAACAAAAAGATAAGTGACAAATTAGGGGAAGATATTTGCAATATACTCAACAGATGGAGGAATACTATCAAACATATATAAAGAATTCCTGGCCGGGCGCGGTGGCTCAAGCCTGTAATCCCAGCACTTTGGGAGGCCGAGACGGGCGGATCACGAGGTCAGGAGATCGAGACCATCCTGGCTAACACAGTGAAACCCCGTCTCTACTAAAAAATACAAAAAACTAGCCGGGCATGGTGGCGGGCACCTGTAGTCCCAGCTACTCGGGAGGCTGAAGCAGGAGAATGGCGTGAACCCGGGAGGCGGAGCTTGCAGTGAGCTGAGATCGGGCCACTGCACTCCAGCCTGGGCGACAGAGTGAGAATCCGTCTGAAAAAAAAAAAAAAAAAAAAAAAAAGGAATTCCTATAATGAACACCACAAAGAACACAGAGTAAGATTTCATGAAGGAGGAAATCTTCTTCATGTGGCAAGTGGCACATGAGATGGCAAGGAGATGATCATCTATTGGGGATCAGGAAGATACAAATTAAAACACCAGGTAGATGCCATTTGATTGTCAAAAGCTACAAAATCCACCAATACCAAGTGTTTCCCAAGATACATTCATGAGAAACTCACAAATGGCTGGGGGATGGTGAGTAGTGCTGACACTTGGGAAAAACCTCTGGAGTTTCCAAGTGTCTCTAAGTCTACAACCCACATGCTCCAGAAATCCCCAAAGAGAAACACACACCTTCCTGCTCCTGGCCAGAGTGCAGGAGGTAGGCACTACCCTCTCAGACCTGGAGGACCTGCAGGAGGACAGGGGAGTTTTTACTTGGGGTTGGAGAGGGGACTGTCTAAGTTTCCTGGGGCTAATGTAACAAATTTGCACAACCTGGGCGGCTCCAGACAACAGAAATGTATTCTCTCCCAATTTTGGAGAGAAGTCTGAAATCAAGATAATTGCCAAGGTTGATTCTTTCCAGTGGTTTGAGATGTTTAAATGAGCTAATATCTGGTACACACTAAACACTTAGTATATGCTTGCTGGGAGAATAATAAAATGCAGGAATACAGCACAGCATAAAATAAGCATCGGTTGTTGATTGGATGCGTGATTAAAACTAAGTGAAGGGCGGGGCACTGTGGCTGATGCCTATAATCCCAGCACTTTGGGAGACCGAGGAGGGTGGTTTGGCTGAGGTCAGGGGTTCGAGACCAGCCTGGCCAACGTGGCAAAATCCTCTCACTACCAAAAATACAAAAATTAGCTGGGCATAGTGGTACATGCCTGTAATCCCAGCTACTCAAGAGGCTGAGGCAGGAAAGTCACTTGAACCTGGGAGGCAGAGGTTGCAGTGAGTCGAGATTGTGCCACTGCACTCCAGCCTGGGCGATGGAGTGAGACTCTGTCTCAAAAAAAAAAAAAAAAAAAAAGGTGGTGGCCGGGCGCGGTGGCTGATGCCTGTAATCCTGGCACTTTGGGAGGCTGAGGGCAGGCGGATCACTTGAGGCCAGGAGTTTGATACCAGCCTGGGCAACATGGTGAAACCCTGTCTCTGCTAAAAATGCAAAAAATAGCCAAGCATGGTGGTGTGTGCCTATAGTCCTAGCTACTTTGGAGGCTAAGGCTGCAGTGAGCTTGAACCCGGGAGGCAGAGGTTGCAGTAAGCTGAGATCACGCCACTGTTCTCCAGCCTGGGCGACAGAGTGAGACTCTCTCTTAAAAAAAAAAAAAAAATAGACAAGACTAAGTGGAGATGAGGGTTCAGTGCACCCCCATCCCCTGGCCCTGCTGCCCACGAGCCAGACCCTGAGCTGACAGATTGATTGCCCATTTCCTCTTATGGATTGATACCGGTCTCTTACCTCTGGGTTTGCTCAGCCCAGAGGCAGGCAGTCAGAGCCAGAAGCTGTTTGCAAACCGAAACCGGTCTGTGGCTTGGGCCACCTACTTGTGAAACCAGCTGTCACTGTTTCCTCCCTGTGAGAAAGTCCCCCAGTAAAGCTGCGCGGGGGAGGAGAGGGAGGGTGGAGGAGGGCAGAGTAGCTTCCCGGGAGACCTTGGGGCGTGGCGGCACTGCTCTGGACTTTGCTTTGCCCATCTGCAACCGGGCACCGTGCGGAAAGGGGATTGCAGGCTCCTGGCTGGGGAGTTTGGATTTGGGGACGCTGGACAAGTGACTTCACCTCTCTGAGCCTCAGTTTCCTTATCTGTGAACCAGTGAGAAACACATGGCCACGGGAGCTGCTGCAAAGGGGCATGTCCCTCTCTTCATTCAGGCCTGGGCCCCAAATGTCGTCTATTCCAGGAAGCCCTCCAGGACTGCCTGATCAGGCAACGTGCTCCCCCTGCTGCATCTGGTCATGTATTCTACTTTATTCATCGCACTTTTCAACACCTGATTCCACATTACAGATGCATCGCTTCAGGTGCATAATGTCCTCTGGGTCCCACCTTTGTCCCCAGACCGTGAGTCTTACAAGGGCGAGATTGCTCTTGTCCCCAGATAAAGGGCGAGATTGCTCTCAATTTTCCCCAGCTGTGTCCCCAGACCACAGCCCAGGGCCTACAGCACAGCAGGCATCTGGTATTATCAGCGCATGATTATCTGTGAGCACACTCATTAGGCCCCAGCTGTGTACAGGAGCCGGCGACACCACCATGAATGAGATACAAATTCTTTTTTTTTTTTTTTTTAGATGGAATCCCATTCTGTTGCCCAGGCTGGAGTGCAGTGGCACAATCTCGGCTCATTGCAACCTCCACCTCCCAGGCTCAAATGATTCTCCTGCCTCAGCCTCCCAAGTAGCTGGGATTGGTAGCTGGGACTACAGGGTCCCACCACCACGCAGTTAACTTTTGTACTTTCGGTAGAGATGAGGTTTCACCATGTTGGCCAGGTTGGTCTCGAACTCCTGACCTCAAGTGATTCGCCCACCTCAGCCTCCCAAAGTGCTGGGATTACAGGCATAGCCACCACACCTGGCCAAGATACAAATTCTTGATGGCAGAGGAGGGACAGAGAGTGTGGTTGACAATGATATTTGAACCGAGACCCAAAGGAGGTGGGGGAGACATATGGGCGTCTATGGGAAGATGGTCCCCGGGAAAGCACAGCCTTTGGACAGGCCCCGAGGCAGGAGCCTGTCTGACTCACTGGAGGAGCTTGGAGGAGGCTGAGGTGGCCAAAGTCGATTAAGCAGGGTGGGGAGGGAAGAGGCAATGATGCAGTGAGACCAAGCAGGGCTTTGTGTCTGGGAGAGAGCTCTGGCTTTTGTTCTGAGGAAGGTAGGAGCCATGGAGGTTTCTAGACAGAAGAAGGACTAGCTGGACTCAGGATACCAGGGTGGGGTATCTCTGGGGGATAAAGGGAGAAGCGAGGAGACCACAGAGGGGTGCCTGTGCTGGTCCTAAGACGCAAGGATAGTCTGGACCAGGGAGAAGGACCTTCATGAGAAGGAATTGGATGTGGGAGCAATTTTGATGGTGGATGAGTGGAAGAAGAAGATTCAGGGGCGCCAGCGTGAGCCCATCTCAGAAGGGAGGAGACTGAGACTCTGGGGGCAGAGGGATCTCAGTAAAGGAAAAACTGGAAGAAACCGGTGGGACGCTCAGAGGTGGCCAGGGTCCAGGAGGGAGCCCCCCACCTCCTTCAGTCACAGTGGTTGCCAGCTTCCTCCTGATGCAACCTGAACTTCCATCTCTCTCTTTATTTTTCCTTTTTTTTTTTTTTTTTTGAGACAGAGTCTCACTGTCACCCAGGTTGAGGCACAGTGGCACGATCCCGGCTCACTGCAACCTCCACCTCCCATGTTCAAGCAATTCTACTGCCTCAGCCTCCAGAGTAGCTGGATTACAGACACACACCAGCACGCCCAGTTAATTTTTGTATTTTTAGTAGAGACGGGGTTTCGCCATGTTGGCCAGGCTGATCTTGAACTCCTGACCTCAAGTGATCTGCTTGTCTTGGCCTTCCAAAGTGGTGGCGCATGCCTGTAATCTCAGCTACTACAGAGGCTGAGGCAGGAGAAATCGCTGGAACCCAGGAGGCAGAGGTTACAGTGAGCCGAGATCTTGCCACTGCACTCCAGCCTGGACAA